ATTATCAACTTGATTATAATTTGCTTTTGTTGAGACTCAATTTTTATAGGTAATGTTTGGGGTTTTGGCACAAATCTGTTTCCATAGTGTGTTGCCACAGCTGTTATCTGCCTTAACAATATAAACAGAGCCTATAAAAAGTATTCACCCCTTGGATGTTTTACCTTTTTATCACTGACATCAGTCAGTTGTCAATATATTTTGATTAAAAAAGTATAATAAAAACTTCCTTTAATGAGAAACTCAAATCAAATTTCTACAAAGTAATGCCAAATGCTAGAAAATATTTAATGTAACATTAAAGACTGCATAAATATTCACCCATTTAAATTAACTTGTCSTAAATGGAGTAAATACTTTTTATAAGCTCTGTAAATGTAATCTTTAAAAAGAGAGTATGAGAGGAGGAACTGCAGGAAGCAAATGAAATGTTATAAAGTCATGAATATGCTAAATACAGAATGCAGTTTAATAACAGATTTAATAAATCTTTATTTTGAAAGGGTTGGTTGGTTAGTTTAGCCTAARTGAATTTTGAAATGTGTAAAGATGACTGGACCAACCAGTGAGTACAGTTAGCTTAATGAAACCTACGTTAAGTTCCTCAGGGAAGAAGTTGGTCCTTTAAACTGTTTAGCTTCTCCAAAAATCTATTCTTCAGCCTGACTCCAACAATCTGAAGACTCTGTTGTTTACTGGAGTTTAAATCAACAATAAAAAAAATGTAGCAGAAAGCAACTAAGATTTAAKTTAATGACATTTTCAGTTAAATTTTGTTCAGTCTATAAAGACAGATTAAAGTATTGRGAAAATGAGCARTTATTAAGAATGAGCTGTTTTCGTCCAAACAACTGTAGTTTTTTATGGTATTAATTGAAGTTTGAGCATCTTTAGTAGCTGCTTATGTTTTAAAAGATCTGGTCTAAACAAGAACAGCAATCTAAGCCTATGATATTGGCTCAGAGGAAAGAACTATGCAACCTTTAGCAGCTAGCTACTAAGCAGACGGTAAAACTCAAAACGTGTACAAATCTTTGTTCATATTTCTGAGAATGGACCTGGTGTATTAAGCAGCTGCTTGCTGTGTTTGGTCAGTTTTGGGTTCATAACTGGATTTTAACAATTACTGCCAAATGACCTCCATGTAGTATTTATAACACCCCACTGTGAGACAGAAAAGGCAGGATTGTCTCATACTGTATTACATTTTTTCCTCAATATGTTTATAGAAAGCACTTTTTATTCATTGCATCTAAAAAAACGTACATTTGTTTTTATTTTTAAATAGCCAGAATACATCAAATGTACCTCTTTTATTACCTCAGACACATCCATGCATCACTCACTGGCTCATACTGGTTCTGTCACTCCTCCTGTACTGCATACACCACTTGTGTCAGTGTGTTCTCATCGGAGACCCCTGCCTTCTTCCTCCCACATAGTGGCACCTTTACCTGCCCAAAGCTCACAGATTCTACCTCRCCTCTCGTCTTTGTGCAGCTGCCCCTCAGAGTGTCACAGCAACCCATCTGCACGTTCAGATAAACAAATGTGGACAAAGGAACCGGGGGCGTGGATCCATCGAGTCCACCAGCAGCATCCAGCAGGTCTTTTTCAGATGTGGATCAAGAACTGACAGCTGTCATTGCCTCCTTCATTTCTGCTTCCCATCACGTGGGACCAAGAGCCACTTTGCCGTTTCAATTTAGGACCCAGAGTTGGCAGTGAGGGCGGGGATTAACAAGTGACATAACAGAACATCCAGGAGAACTGGGACAGCTGGGAGATCCAGATGATGCCCTCTTGGGGTCAGGACATCAGCAGGTGATGAGTTGGCGGTAAGAAGTGAAAATCAAAAGACAGTGAGTGAGTCAGCAGTGTTTACCTGTGGAWATGGCCATAGCCAATCAAGAGGACATGCAACAGCTGTGGCTACACACAACAAATAAAAAGAACCATACCCAGGAGAACTGAACATGCAAATGAAAAAAGACTCTCTCTGAGACTTTCCTGTCCCTGAAACCCAAACACTGCTGTAACCATCTCCACCATCCACAGCCCTGTTTACAACCCACTACAAAGGATCAGGTTCTTTCTTTGCACTAAAAACCACAKTGTCTGTRATCTCAKCAGCACTGAACCCTTCTTCTCTAACCTAACTGTTATTTGTGTGAAAGGGTCAAGTCATCCCGTTACCTTGTAGCCAACAAAGACTTGGCCTTTAGGTGCCGTCACTCTCAGAGTTACTTGTCAGTGTTGCAGGTATTTGAACAGAACCTGCAGGTTCTAAGAGAAGGGAGTCTCTGCAGTCACTGTAGTATTTTCTTGTTTTGTGGGAGAAGTTTGTCCAATACGTGATTGGTCTTTTTGACTTTTGTGGGCGTGGTTTGTTAAAGACGTGATTGGACTGTTTTTGGTGGGGTTTGAAGATGCTGGGGGCAGCTGGGAGTAGTTTGGTTGAAACAGTCAGGAAGCATCTATATTTTTTTAATATAAATATTACTTTTAGTCATAACTCGAGACAGGAAGGTGTTGGCTGCACAAAATTTGAACACCGTACATATGGAGGTCAAAACAGCACTAACAAGCCTGTAAAAAGATCATTCTTTATGAATATGACTTAAAGGCACAGTGTGTAGGATTTTGTCAAGTCTTTTAGCCGAAATTGAGATAATCACTAATGACAACAATAAAAAACATGTCTAATCTTGCAGACAAAGACCTTGTTTTATTATTTTTACCTTATAAAAAGCTGTTTATATCTCCATGGTCGCGGGTCGCCACCACAGGCAGCCGCCATCTTGCACCGCCATCTTGTCTACGAAGGCTCATGAAGGACAAACTGCGGTGGCGGCGTCAAAAATGGTTTTAGTTTTAATACTATAAATGTAATATTTGTTGTCTGTCATTGTAGCTGGGATGATTTTACTTATTAAAGCTCATAATCTTACCACTTGAAACATCACTAACCCTGAAGCTGCTGGTAGACATCGCGGTTGGAATTATCAAAGGTTTTTGACACCTGAGAGACACCGTAGCAACTCCTTTGCGGTTGGAAGCGGGGGGGTGGAGGTGGGGGGGAGGACCAGGGATGATGATTCAACCACTCAACCACTAGATGTCGCTGAAAACAACTAATCCTACACRCTGTGCCTTTAATATCAGTTATAACTTGAGACAGGAAAGTGCTTGCAGCATGAAATCTGAAGTCAATAAATTATGTTCACCATGAGTTTTGAGTTATTGTTCTTTTTTAATTGTGCATAGACAGTCAATAAATCATATTTACATGTTCACAATAATTTTACTTTTATCATTACTTCTTATAAATTGCCACATAAGAGAAGTCAATCCAACCAATCACAGTTAGGACAAACTCCACCCACACATCAACTCCACTGATCACAGTTAGGACAAACTCCACCCACACATCAACTCCACCAATCACGTTTTGCCTACATCAAGAACTCTGCCAATCATGTTTAGGGCAAACTCCGCCCACACAACAAGAAACTCTACCTACAGACTGCAGAGGCCCCTACTTGGACTCTAAAGGAACACGCTCAGTCTGCAGAAGGATAACACCTGAAAGAGTTCACACCCATAAAGGCTCTTTCACAAAACAGTTCCACATAATGAACACAAAGACCAGTCTGTCTTTACGATGTTACTCATAAAATACAGATAGATTTGACCACGACCCACTCAGACCTGAGGCGAGTCGTTGGCAAAGAAAACATAAATAAAAAATTGTTAGTTGCCGTTTAATCCCATGAGCAGGTGGTCTCTCAGACCAGATGTCATCACTTCATCACATTAATGAGCTGCAATGAAGACGTCACGTTTCACACGTCAGCTCTGTGACTACCTTGCTTTGAGGCACAGAGTCACKTTGTGGTGG